GAATAATCGAATTTACACGTGCATACGTGATTGTACTGGTCCTGCGCGGCGTCACACGTTGCGCAGCTACCCTAATTGATTAAGGGGAGGTAAGTATGCGGTCATAGTAAATGACTATTTAAGAAAGGAAAAATGAAAGTATGTTCTACCTTTTTGGCTTTGCTGCTAGCTCGACGCAAGTCTAGCTTTGTCGTTAACGCCCGCCCACCGCTGGGCAGGCGTAGCTAGTATCTTAAAGGATTTGGGAGTTGTAGGTAAAAAATGATAGCCCGGGTGAACAACCCGGATGTCAAAAATAAGTACTTTGATAGCCCGGCTATACAGCTCGGATACTAAAGAAGAGAGGGATGAGTATAAATTCGGTTTAACGATGCTTGTAGACCACGTGGGCAGTGAGGTAAAATCCCATATTGTTTTTCGTAGTTGTTTTGTATTATGATGCCAGGTGATCGAGTGACAAAATGTATTGTATAATCCAGCATGTAAGTAAAGTATGCTATTGTTTGTATAGATGTAAGCTAAGAAAATTTACGAATGTACGACTAGCAAAACTTATAAAATTTATCTTTTATAAGTTATCCCTTTTTAATAATTACGGTTAAGATGAGTACTAATATTGCCCTTTTTTCATGTTAGCGTTAGCATAGTTTATAGATAAAATTTAGAGATAGGGATACATAGAGTTAATACCTGGATCTGGATTTAATTATATATATCCAGATTTAATTGTTAGATCCAGATTTAATTGTTAGATCCGGATTTAATTGTTAGATCTGGATTTAATTGTTAGATCCAGATTTAATTATTAGATCCGGATTTATTTATAATCTTATTTATCTGATTGGTCGGTGCTGACATATCTTTAACGTTATCAGACAAAATTACAATATTTCTTAAAACACTAAAGCCTTCTGTTAGCCATAACAAATTGTCATCCTGGTAATCTGTAACAAGGCTGGATAAGTCAAAAGTATTTCTGGTATGTGGTTGTTATTATAGAATTTTTTTTTATTTGTATCATTTATTTAATATTTATTTATTATCTTATGCTTCTAAATGAGATCATACACTAAAGAAATATCGGCAACATATGAAAATTCTCCCGAGATTTCAAAAAATCTTATAAATCAACGTGTAATTCTTCCGGAACAAGGTTCATATTTTCTTGAATCAATCATTACGCATTACTTTATCGATTTACATGATCGTATACAACTATCTAATATTGTATAGGTATCTTAGAGCGATTTGATGAGTATAATGGTAAACTAAAAGCATTCTATTAAACTGTTATAATGGAAATAATTAATATTCAATTTTTTTATTATGTAGGCCCTATTCTGAGAATTTATATTTTATTGACTTTTTTTGTTTAAACTAAAATGTTACAGGATTGATAATAAAGCATCACGTTATTAAATAAAATTTTGATCATTTATAATAGGTTTACAAATATTATTTGTGGATTAAGAACAAGTTTGACAGGTTGGCATGACCTAACACTACAAAAAAAAGTCATGATAAAATTAGTCGCTGTCAGGTAGAAACATAGAATAGTGCTTAGCATTTCTTTTCAAAAATAACATCTTATCTACTAAATGGGGGTCGAGACGAGTTCTTCTAGCTGAGTCGTGGGCGTTCGTATCAGAAAACAAGCGTTCTGATGAAACTGATGTTGCAGAAATAGATAAGTATTTATGGGCAAGTTGATTAAGAAGGGGATAACTTATACGTCTTTTTCCCCACCATATCAAAGGATTTTGATTTTTATGAGCTATTTGCTCTTTCATATATCGTGTGAATTCATCCTCAGTAAAGACATGATCAGGGATCGAACATAACCCCATAATTCGGCACTTAAAGAATCCTGAGGATCTTTATTCAAAGTTACTTCATTCAGAATTATGGAACTTCTTTCTATATTTTCATTACTATTTGAATCATCTAATTGAGTTTTAAGTAATAATAATTCTGCACGAATTTGAGCTTCAGTTTGTTCCTGTTCCAGAATTGTAGCAAATAGAAGTAGCTTATTGCCCATGGATCTAGAATAGAGGCTTTCAACCCCATTTCATTAGATGTATTCCACAATTCATCAATAGACAAAAAAATGATAGCACGTGCTTTTTCTAAAAGCCCAGAACAATCTACAGGTGACAAATATTCTATAGTATTAGAATCTTCCAATTCCGTAAGAGTAATTTTTTTTTTTTTTTTTTTTATGACTAACATGACCTTTACAGCGATATGCACTTCGATGTGCATATTGCCACTGCCGTCGATTTTCTGCTAACGGTATATCAACTTCATTATCACTACTAAGACTTGAATCATTACTAGTATCTGCATCTTCAGAGCCATAAATTAGATTAACCCAAGCTTCAAATGATTTACCATGATCATTTTTTAGTGCAAACTTGTTTTTTAGAGTTCGAATGTAGCAATATACAAGATTTAATGTTGGATACTTTGATCCACAAACATATCTTGTAATTTCTTCAAATAGCTTTAAAAGATAAACCATTTGTTCTGTAAACCTTGATTAAAAAGAAGAAAAAATTATTAGTTGCATGTTACTGATTATAGTATTCCAGATACTATTTAAATTTATTTAATAAAAATCTTAAATAATACACATATCTAACTAAAATAATGCCCGGGTCTTACTGTATTATCTCGAAATAGCATCCCAGGATGTAGTTTTAAAATTTTGCTTAATTCGGATCAAAATTCTAAATGCCGAGATAATATGTAATACCCGGGTCTTTTTTATGGAGGTATTATGGTATGGATACTATCCGTGGTATAACCAAAAAATTTGTTTTTATGTTAACTGCTTAAGGGTATCATCTAAAGCCAGGTAGTAATTTATATGCAGCACGTAACTTTTACTTTACAAATTTATTATAAAAACTACCTGGCTTTAGACAATTCCCAATTTGGGCAAATGTAATTATATACGTAATATATTTTATTATACAAAAATATATTTAAATAAAAAAAAAATTAAATACATACTCTTGTTCTTCCGTAGTTAAACATAATTTCATAAGTTTTTCACCCTCACATTTTGAAGCAGCATCTAGCTTATTTCGTAAAGAGGTTGCAAGTGTAAGCATTGCTGGCTGCAATAGTAAAATCCTTTGCCATGCATAGTAAGTCAAATTCCAATGGGTCTTACAATCGGTTAGAACTTCAAGTGGATTTACCATTTCATTTTCATCTTCGACGTCACTTTGAATTATATCAGATGAGTCTATTTGTATTTGTATTTGTATATTTCGCAATCGTTGTACCTGCTTTGGAAGTTTAAAAAACGTTTGAATGCTCTGAAGTCGTTTATGAATTGGCTTAATATGCTTTAACTCTTCTTTTACTGAAAGTTGAAGAGTATGGGCAACGCATGACTGCCAATTAATATTAGAAAGATAATTCTCTTTTAACAAACTAACACTTTTTACCATATTTGACCATTATCTGTTACAATAGTATGTACTTTATTTACTAATCCCCACTTATTTATAATACTAAATAATTCCTCACTAATATTTTGACCTGTATATGAATATGGCATGTGATGACTTGTAAGCAATGCTTCTTGAAGCTTAAAGTCAGAGGTTAGCCATGTTATAGTAACACCAAGATAACCACGATTACTTTTAGCAATCTATAAGTCTGTTGTTAAATTAACAGTATTAATATTTAACAACAATTCTTTAAGTTGGTTTGTTCCCCATGCGTAAGCCTCAGAAATATATTTTTTAATGGTTTTTGCACTCGGTATTTGATATTGAGGCTTAAAACCATATAGAAGTTTACGAAATGCCAAATTTTTTAATATATTTAACAGCTGAATATCATACACGATAAACTCTACAACAAGTTTTGTTAATTCTCGTTGTTGTGTGGGTGACAGAGAAGGTAGGTCAAGATCTGTTAATTCAACAGATCTATTAATTATTGGCTATAAAAAATATATATTAATTTAAAAATTTTAATGATTTTGTTTAATGAAAATCGATGTTTACTTGTTCATTATCATCGAGGTATCTTTTATAATTCTTTGAAGTTATATTATACCTTTCACGTAAATGTTTTACTAAGTTTTCTGTGCTATTTCCTGATTTGCTATAGGGATACGGTTGTGCTTGAATTCTGTCTAATTCATCTAATTCCTGAGTACAAAGTCTACAATATGCAATTGTGTTATCAGTTTCATCATCTTGATAAAAAAAGCGTGTAAAACTGGCATTTGCCCTTGGGGTTGATAAGTGACTAGAAGCGACAGACAAAGTTGATTGTGCTGTTGTTGTAGTGATTTTTTTTTTTTCTATTAGGTTTAAGCATTTTTTAAGTGAAATTGTTGATAAGCTCAAAATTGAAAATTCTGGTTATTTATAAAAAATTGTTATTTATTATTTTACTAAAAAGAAAAAAAATATATCTTTTTTAAAAGCCAATTATTTAAAATGTTGATATATTGAAATAATTGTACTCTATTAATAAATTTAACTATCATACGGCACTGATTACAAGGTACCTTATAGTACAGGATACTATTCATCCTTATAGTACAAGATATTATTCATCAACGAATGCAATAATTTTTTGAGCCCTATAATTTATTATTGAATCCACTAAACCTACGTACATTCCACATGATCTTTTGATAAAAATATAAATCAGCTCATTCGATAATAATAAACGATTAATGATAGTGACGAGTGAGCGAGCCGACTTGTATTTTTATCCCTTGAATACCATTCAAGATAGCAAGGGTTTTTTGAATAAGCTAGGGATATTATTCATTTGTAAATATAATATTGATCCCGTAAACCATACTATTCAATCTATTTGACCTATCACCCTCCCTAAATGGTATCCCTCAATACTATTCAAGCTAACTAGGGCTTTTAAATAAGGTCAGAATACTTAGAGGCAGTTTTGTACAATAGTTTTCTTTTAATGCACAGAATCTCAATGAACTAAAAACTGGTGGCATTTTAATCATTTATAAAAATCTTTCTTATTATGACTAGAAAAAAAAATTATTTTTTAATTATTTAAGGAGAAAATCAATATCGGCTCAGTAAATTCACAACCAGTGTTTTTCTATTGCAAAGAATTTCATCGAACAACAATTGCTTTAATTAAATCACATTTGAGGGAAAAAATAGTGTTGAGATGAATCCTATGAAACTTAAATATAAAATTTAACAAGTTAAGATATATTGTAACATGCTAAAAAAATTTATTAAAAAGAAAACATAGCTTGTTTTTACAGTCTAAAATTTCATTATATGATACGTACAATTTTCATATACACAAAAGTATATAAATAAGACTGTAAAAGTAATTCAATAAATAAACAGGTCGCTCTTAATCGCTTGACCAACCACAATTTTGAACCTAGAAGTACTTTCATCGTAATTAAATGCAAATGGGTGATGCCAAGGGAAAACCAGACTTCGAACATGAATTTGTATAATCGCAGCTTAGTTTTCTCTTGGCGTCACCCAAATAGAACAAGAGCAATATTTAGTTCGACCTGATTCTCTGTCTGCCCAGTGAAGTGTCTTGAAACTATAAACTTAGAAACATTAAAATTGCAAATGCAACATTTGACTTGTATAAAAAATATTATTTTACAAAACTTACTATAATCAAAGACGGTAAACTTTGGTTTCTCTCATGTTTAGCAAAAATTAAATCTGGATCTAATAATTAAATCCGGATCTAACAATTAAATCCGGATCTAACAATTAAATCTGGATCTAACAATTAAATCCGGATCTAACAATTAAATCCGGATCTAACAATTAAATCCGGATCTAACAATTAAATCCGGATCTAACAATTAAATCCGGATCTAACAATTAAATCCGGATCTAACAATTAAATCCGGATCTAACAATTAAATCCGGATCTAACAATTAAATCCGGATCTAACAATTAAATCCGGATCTAACAATTAAATCCG